ATCCTGGGACACGTAACAACTCTGGTATGTCTGAAGGTTTAATTATAAACGTTTGACGCATGTAATGTTCTCATTGGAATTGTGGTGTGTCATTTTTAGTATCAATAAAATAATGAAACTCTTTCACCCGGAAAACGTTCGAGAAGATTTAGGCTATATATTTGTTCACTTCCAAATGTTTCACATCGAAATGTTTCTATCATATTGCAACGTGTATTAAAATACTAGGCGAAAAAAACCTCATCTTGTTCAGCAGCTCCACGAAAAGAAACAAAGACATATTATAGGGTATCTACAATAAAGCCTGTTCAAGATGCTGTCTGTTTGTAGGAGAGGTACGATCAGCTGACGAGCAGGATGATCCCAGAGATGCTCTTTGGGATTCATGTCAAGGCAGAACGTTGACATTAACGTTGTTCAGATAATCTTGGACAATTCTGGCGGTATGAGGCATGCCTTCCTGCAAAAGGGTGTCCCTTTTCTGTCGGCGCAAGAACAGCACTACAACAGGCCGGAGGACTGCATCACTATATCATTGACCAGTCACTCATTTTCGACAGATGATGAGTTATTCGTTCTCTGCTGGCCACAAATTCCGCCCCATACAAGAATGCCACCTCCAGCATAAGGATGCACAATTTGGATAACAATCATTCTCCCTTTGGTCGATAAACCCGAACTCGGCCATAATTTTCGACTTATTTCTGGGAACAACACCCTTTCCCAATCCACACTGCTGCCACCGACGTACAGTTCCTGCTCATTGTAATCGGCGTTGACGGTGTAGAGGGGTCAAGGTCATTCCATGGAAGGAGCGTTATTCATGCAGAGATGTCGTAAGAATGTTCGTCTGCTGACTGAGTATCTCAGTGCCGTCTCAACCGTTGACGTCGCTGTCGGTTTGAATCCAGTTGAAGGTCCTTGCAATCTGCCGTTCAGATCCGCAATGTCGGCCATAGCGATAGCTCTGTCTCGGCATCACTCTAGTGTTTTTTTCGATACTGCATCTTTGCTTTGCCCCACACCGATATGTAGTAATCTTGCACAAGCTTTTTCAGCAGTTCCCAAGTTCTTTTCTTCTCGATGTTTCCTGACTGCTCAAAATTCAATAACTCACGCGAAAAGTGACATCCATGTGTGCAGTGTTTCCTATGTTTCGGCTGATGTTTTCTCATAACGTTCAAACGTATCACAGCGTCCTTGATTCAGATATAACTTCAATCTTCAATCAAAGTGATAACTTTCTTTTGCCATGAACTTTTATACAGGCATAATGTTCGCACTGAGAGACGGACATGTAGCCCTTTGCCATCTGCCTTCCGCTTTAAGGTTAAACTTCCAAATGTAAAGTCAGCCTTCATGAGAAGATGTACATGTGTATGTGATAGCGTATGTTGCTATTGTTTGAAAAGGGGAATCAAGAAGTGTTGAAACATTTTTCTTTTCTTAAAACGAACAAGTCTTTGACAATTAATTGAACAATAAAACATGGTAAACAATTCACCGTGTATCATGATCGTGCTCGTAGCGTGTCCCCCGCCGTGATATTGCAGGAATATTGCTAATAGCGGCATAATACTAACCTCACTCATTCACTTTATTAAGACAAGTTCCAAGAAAACTAAATGATAATCTCGGGATATAGGATGTTATACCATATACATACTATATACACCAACATGGTTCGCATATCATAAGATAACACAGTGTTAAACCTCCAATACGGGAGGTCTTGTTTTCAGTCATTATAACTACAGATCCCCGTGCTGTCGTTACAGTGACGTCACTGTCTGTACCATTCCTCTGTCTGCACCGCACCGTTGACAGTTCACTCCAGGGCAGGACTTTGTGAAAATAATCCGCAAAAACGTATTTGGAAACGTTGGGTTATGTTTGAACTGGATGTATAAACTTTCTAAAGGTACAGAATGTACTTTGGTAATGGGATCTACAAGAGGCCACTCGAGCTTATGAAAGGCAATGCTCCGTGGCTCGGTCTGAAGGAGTAAAAAATAGTGTCTTCGGAGCGAAATGACTGCTGGGTTTAGGCTTCAGGTTTTTGAAAGTAAAGAGGCACTTTAGCCGACGAAACGGCTGGGGTGTAGGATGCATGATTTTGATATTCTGATCAGCTATGATCAAGATTGTATTTGGGTGTACTTTCTAAGAGGTTAATCCTTCCCTTTCATTAAGTGAAAGACGAAGTTTTGTTTTGACAGTGTTTATGCCCGGCTGCTAAGAAAATACGGCTTATCCGTTGGTATTGACTGAATATAACTTGGATTATAGCACACGTGTCACTTAAAGAAGGACATAGGATACCCCCTTGGTGCACACAACGCGGACTTTAGTTTCAATAGTTGAACACTGTATTTCGGCTACTCATGACTTGCATTTTCCCCATATACTTAAAGCATTCCACAAACAACGGACATTCTTTTCAAAGTTTGAAGGGCGTATCTCCGTGTCCTTTCGTCCCACGGGGTCTTTTTAAGTCTCTCGCGAGATTCTACTTTTCGAACCCTTCACGAAACTGAAACCAAGGCCATTGTATATCCTACGATTTAAAGATGTTTTCTTTTTCAGTATATATTGGTTGTTTTGGTATTATGTATATACTGTGTATCTATCATACTTAATGTTTATCGAATCACCATGATGTAACATTCGTCGGTCTGCTCTGAAATAAGTCGAGGTACTTAATTTTGTGTAAATCCAGAAATCTGTTCTTTTGATGTATCTTCCATGATAAGACAGACTGAGATAGGGCTTTAGTTAATGGAGAACGGTGGTAATCATAACCTATGTTGAATAGAGTCATTTTCTTAAGTAAGAACTATAAAAATGCTTTAGTGGACAATAGTCAGCTTAAAACATCGCTGAACAGTTAAAGATGTTTTCACGGTGCTCTCTTGGCATCTTTTGTGACAGACTGGATCAGACGTGAGTGAGTGAGTTAATACTTAACGTCACATCGGCAATATCTCAGCCATAAGACGAGTAAGAAAGTGCCATTGCCTGTTTATGACTATACCATTGTACAAAGCTATTTCAGCGCTGAGGTGATCGTAAATCCCATACCTAAACATTTAACACCGACAGTCGTAGCGGTAAGGTTGTACAAGGGTACCCCGATTGCGGAGGAGAGATTACAAGATCCTACATACTATAGTTATAACAGGTATCAATAGTGACACTTCAGTGATATTTATCGCCGTTTAAATACACAGCATTGACAGAGTGGGCAGTAATGAAGGTTTCTCCACCATGTTCAGTGTTACTAAACGTCATCCAGGCGCTGCTTAACGTCCTCTCAGACTCCTCATCAGTAACACAACTCGGATCTAGTTACTGAGGAAGTAATTGTCCTTATACCACAGGATGGAACCGTTTGAATAATCGACTCTGCACCAGGTTAACAGAGACTCACAACGTCATCCACCATCAACATCATCGACACCATGTCAGCAATCACCCAAGTCACAGACTTTGATCACCGATACAGTTTTGTCCTCTTCTAGTCGAACTACGTTTAAGCCAGTAGCCCATATAACTGAAACTAAGACAGAAAAAACAAAACGACTAGTTGAAGGTTGAACGACTGGGGTATTGTTTTTGTCTCATGAATACCGTGCATAGCAGCATTTTCCTCTAATAAAATAGTATACCTTGGCGGTAACGCCGATGAACCGTGGTAATACATGGAAGCTTTTCCTGTCAGCACCCATTTGTGGGCCTTTTTTGGTATTTTCCTGGTGGATGAATTATCATTTTCGTTACACTCCTTGACATTGGTGTGTTTCAATCACAGGGATGCTCGGCATTAATGCCCTTATGACTGACAGAAACAACAGAAAAACGCAAATGAACGAGTACGCTTTTATCTCATGAGTATTGTGTGCAGCTGCGTTTTCGTATAATAAAATAGTATTTCTTAGCGGTAACGCTGATGCACCGTAGTCACTGATTGAGGACCCGTGCAGATACAGGTTAGAATTGATCTTCAGTAACCCATGCTTGTCGTAAGAGTCGACTAACGAGTTTGGGAGGTTCAGGCTCGCTGACACATGTCAGCGGTTCCCAATTGCGCAGGTCGATGCTCATGCTGTTGGTCACTGGATTGTCTGGTCCAGACTCGATTATTTACAGACCGCCATACAGCTGAGTGCGGCGTAAAACTAAACTCACTCACTCCCTCACTGACTGAGATTGATGTGTTTCAATCACAGGGATGCCAGCATCGGTGCCTATGAGAAAGTATGGAACTATTTTCTGTCACCCACAGATGAAGTCGTCATACGTCCTTGGCTTTGTCACAGTCAGAGTGTCTATCACAGCCATGTAACACCTAAAGTAGAACTGAACTGACGAGCAAAACATAGTATACACTTGAAAATTGGATTCACCAAAATATCAAATGTTATCAAAACACTGGAAACTTAAAGATAAAATCGAATAACTATTGTCTTCTTTGTTTCTTGCTGAGCCATCATCAAACATGGGTGTATACATTCTCTCGCTCAGCAGTTTTGTTACGTATTATCGCGGCCTAACTTCCTTGCCCTGGACACTTGACGGGTGTTACTGACTAAACATGAGATGCTTCGTGAACACCTGGTATCATAATATTACTCAAATATCACTGTAGCAACAAGAAGGACTACTCGAACATGGATTAAGGAATTCTCCTGTCCAAGTAGGTGAGTCTTAAATTTCAGACAAAAAATATACTTGGCTTTTAAGACTGACATCTTCAAATTTGACTAGTGTGAAACGATATTCAAATACATATAGCTATCATATAACTAGTGAAATGATATTCAAATACATATAGCTATCATATAACTAGTGCTATTATCAAGGGAGATGGAGCACTGGGAAACTGTAAGGGATTAAACTATAGTCCTTCCTAAATAAACCGGCTCTGTGCCAGATACGATCACTAAAGCATATGGTAAGTCTCTATCGATTGCACACATACAGAGTTCTGATTCAACAAGATGAATTCAGAGCTTTTACTTGTTCAAACAAAGCCTACGGAGATGACCTGACGAGCTGGTATTTGGGTTGTTTGTAATATGATCCACTGCAATCCGGATGCGGAAGTAATTGTACTTTGTCATTTCCGGTGTGATAGGGTTAATGGCTCCCAAGTTAGTTCTTGACATAATATTTTCCTCAGTCCTGAAATATAAATACAAACTATATAATGGGATACTTTAACAGTTATAGCAACTTTACAATACTATACTGCGCCAAATATACTATACTAACTGTACTATGCCATACCAACTTACCCGTGAAAATCCGGGCTAGAATTGATCTTCAGTAACCCATGCTTGTCGTAAGAGGCGATAAACGGGGTCGGGTGGACAGGCTCGCTGACTTGGGTGACACATAAAACCGTATCCCAATTGAGTAGAACGATGCTCATGATGTTGCTCACTGGATTGTCTGGTCGAGACTCGATTATTTACAGACCACCGCCATATAGCTGGAATGTTGCTGAGTGCGGCGTTAAACAACAAGTCAACCAACCCAATCAACCAACCAACCAACCAGCCGACCGACCAACCATACCATCTATGCTTTACCAACTGTACTGTCCGTTAAGTCGTTCAGGACACTGTAGTTCGCTGTGCTGTGTTGTGTCCGTTTGGACACACAAGGAAGCTAAGGTTGTGGGTTTGAGTGAGTGAGTGAGTTTAGTTTTACGCCGCACTCAGCAATATTCCAGCTATATGGCGGCGGTCTGTAAATAATCGAGTCTGGACTAGACAATCCAGTGATCAACAGCATGAGCATCGATCTGCGCAATTGGGAACCAATGACATATGTCAGCCAAGTCAGCGAGCCTGACCACCCGATCCCGTTAGTTGTCTCTTACGACAAGCATAGTCGCCTTTTGTGGCAAGCATGGGTTGCTGAAGACCTATTCTACCCCGGATCTTCACGGGTCTGTGGGTTTGAATCCCTGTACACTCTGATTATATTTCGAGGTTTGTCAGCACCATTCCACATAGGTTTCAGCCAAGTGGCGAACATCGGAGACATGGCATCAGTCTTTGCAATACTTTAATTTGCCAGTTGGCCATCAGGGTCGCTGCCGCCTGCAGGCTTTAAAATCTACAGGGCCTGAATGAAATCTGCAGGCCCATTTTGCTAAAGTCAAACCAATAAAAGCAAAATAGACTACACTGTTCACAGTTTCACACTGTTTCTACAAAATCAATTAGCGAACCCTATGGCACACGGGGAAGTTTTTATTTGTTAAAGACTGGTGGTGACATCCCTAGGCGCAAAGCGCTGAAATACCAGGAAGTTACCATGGGTTTCCGAACGTTAATAAAGAAAGAAATATGGGAAAGATTCCAGTCGAAAGAAAACCATTGACAGATAATTTACTGAAGGCCATAAGGGCCTGCAGATATTTGAAACTGCCGGCCCGATACAATAACAACCGGCGCTGGGCCTCCGGGCCGGCGGTTATTTCAAACGCTGCATGGCAGGAGCTTTCCTCCTTCACTACGCAGGCACGCCCCGATATGCCAGAAATACGGCGTTAACTCACTCATCTACAGTACTGTACAATGCCATCTTACAACACAGTACCACGCTTTATGAAAGGTACAGCACTAGACCACTTATCCCATACTAGATAGGATTAGATATTTTTGTTTCAAGATAAAGGATAATGTATTTGCTCATGTGGCTATGTCCAAAGAGAAGATTGCCTGGAGATCGACATGCCTCACGGTTAGGAAGCAACCATTGTCTTCATAAGTATAAACAAAACCATCAACATGGCTGTGACGAGATAAGAAATATGTTTTGATTGGTTCGAATCGTTTGTTCATGTAATACCCATGAACATGGTCGAGGTGAGTGAAATAATGTCGCTGCAGTCAGCAACATTATATTACAGAGGCCGGTGAATGACAAAGCCTGGGTCAGATAAGCTGGTGACTGACATTAAATGTTTCACCCCTACATAGGATGACATAAGCAAGTTACATAGGCTGGTCGTCGACTGTAGCCGGCTGTTATGACCATAACCTGAGAAATGGGCAAAACAGACTAATAATATCTACAGGCTCTGCAAAATAGGGTAACGTGCATTATCCTGCACCTTCACATGACAACTAAAGTTGCCCCTGGACCAAAATTTCAAAAGGATTTTTCTCGAATGTGTTGCATCTCAGAGGCTTAAACACAGGGTCAGGGGTGTTTTATTTTAAACGTGCTCATATAAGCAGCGTATATCCACGCTCACGATTAGACGCCCCCCGCAATCTCCTGAGTCTTACATAAACTATGCACCGTACACAACAACCAACTCAATCCAAATCCGAATGTACACACGATTCGTCTTTTTAGTCCTCTCGCCCAGCAACAATGGCGGACAGTGCATATGGTGATTTCAAAACAAACAAGCACGTGTTGATAACACACGTTCTTGCTATAATATCTTCACACAGAATTAATTAACTGCTGCGAAACTAGTTTTTTCCTCGTAGACTTAACATACCACTGGTGTGAATGCATTTGTATCTCGCTTGATCTGTGACCTCTGAGTAATATAGTCATACGTTTGCCGAGTATAAGAAATATGCTGAACAGATCTAGCAAAGATAGTAGCGAAGAGGGGATTAATGATGCAACAACTCAATGTTAATATGATGTTCTATAAAAGGAAACATTGTTTACCTGTCACATATTCAATCTCCTCGGTAATAGGTTTCTTATTGGACACATTTCGCCCTTTGACCGCAACTCAAATCTGTTAGTCCAAGTGACAGTTGCATGGCTCGTTTAAATCCTTATTGGTGTTTTATGTTATTTGTAACACACTGGGGTCAAGCAAGTTTGAGAAATGACGTCTACATAAAACCCTTGGCGAGTCACTCCGATCCAACATACTCCACCCATATCATCTCCTTATTTACATGGAGAGTTTTGTTAGATGCTTACTGTTCGAGAATTATGTCATTTTCCTTGTAATCAAAGTAACCTGACGTTATATTGTCTTTTAATGAGGCCCGAAAGAATCTCTAAAAGTTATAATAGAGAATACGGATCTTAAAAGTTGCATTTGAACCAAATGCACAACCAGGGATCACATGTCTATAAGTACTTTTAAAGTGACTAGGTTTTCTCTTTTGACGTACATGGACTCAATTGGCCACCGAAATGACGCGGACATGGTGCTATATTCAGTGATGATGCTCCATATTTTGTCAAAAGGAAACCCAAAATTAAGTATAGATATGGAAATAGGATGAAAGATGGTGGGCAGCGGAGTTCCTGATGGAGAGAGAGAGAGCCTCGAAGACGACCCAAGATCACGAAGACCCTTCAACTGCCAAGACCAATATAGTATTGATAAAATGCAAGACATGATTATGGATTGCCATATATATGATATACATATAGAAGATCATATGTCAACTCACGTCACAGAGCCAATACAGTCGGCATCTCTCATGGGAGAATTGAGAACATGATGAGAAAATGAACTTTCAGTGACAAAAATTTAACAGACATCCTTCCGTCTTCAACAGAAATCCTTTAAGCTAACTTTCATGATTTTTAACGAGAAATAATTAACAGAGCCAGCTAATTCTGCTGATCGATTCATAACCATAGATGAGTCCACCAACATCAGGTGAGACAACAGTGAAAGGAGTGGAAATATAACATCTCATCTGAAAAAGGCAAAATCATCAGGTGGCATTTAAGATGCTGGCATTAGTTTCTAGGATTCCAAATAAATCCTATTGGGGGTCTAAGAATCAGATCGTTAATGGTCAGTATAATGCTAATCTGTATCATCAAACGCAGGGTAATATCAAAGCTAAACATCTTGAGAAGTCACCGAAGATGTGTTGTTCCATGGAATCACAGCACCTGCACACAAGGTTGGTTGTTTGGAGCTCATTACACATCCTTCGTGTTCCAAGATTTGGCTCCTGATTTCCAACCAGAAAGAAACGCCTGGCAAGCATTTAGCATATGACGATGACGTCATTTCTGCTATGGAGTACCTCCATTAGTTGGATTCAGGGTCTCCAGCATGGTGGAAGTATGAGGACCTTAATGGCTTTTTGTTGAAAAATGCAAGTAGATAACACCAACATTACATTTAGGATAAAACCTTTCAGTTTCCAGTCGACCTCCTAGGTTTTCATACGTCATGAGGCAACCCTTATCTGCCTTGACGAATCATTTGTTGTGACCAAGTCCTTAGGTTAATTCATATGAGATTTCAAACAGGTCATGTCATCATGATTTTAATATCGTGTTTCAGACATATTCCCGGCATGTACAGTAACTAGAACACAGATGAAAATGCACAGCAGACCTTTCACAGTGTGAAGAGTACTTATTTGATAATAATTTACAAGTTGTCTGTTTAGTGTGTGTATATGAGCATCGGAATACATTGACAGATTTGTATCCAACTGTCTGCGATGTGTAATGTTATGTGTGAGGAGTGAGTTTGGTTTTACGCCGCTTGTAGCAATATTCCTATACTAACAACTAGTCTCTGGAATGAACATATTTTACAAAAAAACCTCATAGTAAAACAAAAATATATAATGAAAAGGAGCCCTGAGACTTTCTTCATTCTAAAGCTGTGGAAATTCAGACTTGCCACATTTTCTAGACTTGTGAGGGCCTCCTTGGATATAGTTGCTTCGGCGTCTGTATGACAGACTACAGCATTCCAGCAATATAACGGCGGGGGACACCAGAAATGAGATCACACTTTGTGCCGATGTGGGGAATAGAACCCGGGTGTTCAGCGTGACGAGCGAACGATTTAACCACTAGGCCACCCCACCTCCCCTTTATGTGTGGGATGCAGCATGTATTGAATGGAGACCATTTCTCATGAGACAAGAACATCGTACAATAGTGGTACAAAACTACAAAAAATTCCATGTGTGAACATTCTTTAAAAAAAAAGAGTTTATTCTTGAGAAAGTCTCACTGATAAGACAGGAAGCGTCATATCGTAGGCGAGGTCCTCGACGATGCGCATGACGTCGGCTTCATCTTTTAAGTTTCGTTCTAGCAATGTGGAGCCGTGCTGAGTAACGTCTTGTTATTGGAAAGCCTTCAGTTAAAAAGCAGTGCAGTTGTGTCAAGCGATGCTATGGCTTATATAATACAGAGCTACGCAGAATTATGTCTGGTATTTTGGAGCCATTCAGAGATACAGCTGGCAACTTAAACCGTGCATGACATTGACACACATGACTGAGCCATGAATAGCAATAGGTGGCCATGAAGAATCGGGTAGAACAAAGCTGCTGATGGAGGGCCAT